AAAGTTGCCTTCCAATTTCTCACTTGCTATTTGTAGATGATGCCTTAATTTTCTGTCAAGCCAAATCCTTGGAGGTCAGTAAGGTTAAAATTCTTCTTGATAGATATGAATCTTTGTCGGGTCACTGGTGAATCTGGACAAGTCCTGTCTTTACTTTTCTCTAAACACTTCAGCCGATTTGCGAGATTAGCTTTGCCACTCATTGGGTATTCTAAATGTGGATTGGTCCAATTCTTATCTAGGTTTCCCTTCTCTCATTGGTCGCTCCAAAGTTACTGCTTTTAACTAATTCATTTCCAACTGCGTTTCTTCTAGAACTAAAGCTATCAAGGGCAAGATGCTCTCCAAGGCGGGTAGAGAGGTAATGGGGAAAGCTATGCTCTCCGCACTTCCTACATATTCCATGCATTATTTTCGTATTCCAAAATCCAATTGCAATACCTTAACCAGCATTTTTACCAATTTTTGGTGGAGTGGCGAGGAGAAGTATAGTAAGATTAAGTGTCTTAAGTGGGATTTCTTATGCAGCTCTAAGGCGGAGAGCGGTCTGGGTTTTAAGAATGTAGAGGCTTTTAACTTAGCTTTGCTTGCTAAGATAGCTTGGAGGATGGCTAAGGGTGAGGAATCTTTGTTGTTTAAGTTTCTGAAGATGAAGTATTTTAAGAACTGTGAGTTTGTGGATGCTCCAAATAAGTCCAATGCCTCATGGGCATGGAAAAACATTCTCTCTACCAAGGATGTTATCTCTCAAGGTAGGCGATGGAAAATTGGAAACGGCTCTTCAATTAATTACTGGACTGATAATTAGATCCCAAATTCCTCTAATTTTAAGGTTAGTTCTCAACAGCTCTAAGCCCCTTTCTCTACTGTGGTGGATCTTATTAGTCACTTTTCTTACTGTTGGAATGAAACTTTGGTTTGTCGGTATTTTAATGTCAGCGTTTACAAGCTCATTCTTCAAATCCCTTTAAGTATCAGGGTGGTGCCGATTGCATGATCTGGGGTGGTACTCGGGATGGTCTCTTTTCAGTCAAGAGTGCGTATCAAGTTGCTCTTTTAACCCTTCTTTAACTTCCCTCCTCCCCTCGTTCGGTTGGTAGTAATTTTAAAGCGTTTAGGGGTAAAATGTGTAAGGCGATGTGGCCCATAAGAAGGTCCAACTGTTTATTTGGCAAACTTTCCACAATCGGATTCCAGTGAATAAGGAGCTTTTCCATCGGAAGGCGTTTGAATCCACTACTGCGCCTATTGTGGCTGCCATGGCGGAATCGGCTAAGTGTTGTGGACTAACAGAGCGTTTATCTGTTGGTCCATTTAGAAAAGTAGGAATGACCTTGCTTTTAATTTATCCAGGAAGGACCCTCTTGAGGTGGGCTAGATCGCGCTTCGTGACTTTGATGAATTTTTGGCAGTAGCCCATCAAAACAGACTTCTGTTTCTTCCTTCTCCCTCTCCGGTTTTGCCACGAGGGTGGTGTGCTCCAATGGTGGGAAGTCTCAAACTTAATTTTGATGCAGCTTATAATCCCATTTCCATGATGTGTGGTAGTGGTATGGTTTTGTGAAATCATTTGGGCCATCTTGTCAAATTAGCGTCAGTCTTCTTCCGCAATGTTAGTAGTTGAGCGCTGGTTAAAGGCCTAGTTTTGAGAGTGACTTTCACTCTGTTGCACAGTTGGGGCTACCTCTCAGTGGTGGTTGAGGGAGACTGTCAATCCGTACAGAGTCTCCATCCTTCTGAGGCCTCTTTGTTGGTGGTTTTTGAGGACATTTCTTCTCTCCTTTTGGTTTGTCCAGGCTCTTCATTGGCTTGGACTCCTAGAAAAGGAAACAAGGTGGCTTATTTAGTTTGGAAAAAAGGCTCTTGTAGCCGAATGTGGTGATTTGGAATGGAGCATATGACCCCAGTGGTTGTTAGATGCTCTTCTCCCTGAATTTGTATCTTCTACCTTTGTTAAGTCCATGTAGAAAGATTGTTATTTATTTCACATCATTAGCTTTTGAAAACTTTTCCATATATGAAATTTTGAATTTTAGATGGGTAGCGTTGGAATTTCAAAAGCCCTTAAAAAGTTAAAATCCTGGATGTATTATTATACTATATAATATACTCCATTAATAGAAAGCTAAAATATAAATATATATATTATTATACTATATAATATATTCCATTAATAGAAAGCTAAGTGAAATTTATTAAACAGTATATGCAAACCAAAAGCCATAGAGGCAGGATTTTTGAAGAGCGCCGGAGCGCCCTACAAAACAGAAGAACTCACCCTAATCTGCAAGAGAGAACCTACAAAGATTTTTGATATTGCATGTGACATCAAATTAAACCACTGTGACAAACATTATCTTTAATTTCTTGGAGTCACTAGGTCTACTAATTTTCCTTTAGATTTTTTATATAGGTCAACTATGGTTAGATGCCTGTAGGTACTTTTTTCCATCCAGATTCCTAATTTTCACTTCAAGTTTTATTATACTATCTTTCATTGCGCTTCAATTCAACGTCGCTTCAACGCACAATGCACATACAACGACGAATTACTTCAAGAATCTTTATATTGGTCAAATATGGTTGGATGCATGTAAGTACTTTTTTTTTTCATCTAGATCCCTAATTTTTGCTACAAGATTTTTTTACCGTCTTTCATTTGACATTTGCTTCAATTCGACGCCCGTTTCAGTGTACATACAATATGTTCCTTCAAACAATCTTTATATTTTTGATTCCTAATTTCCACTACAATTTTTTTTTTTTTTTTTTTTACTGTCTTTTATCTGCGTCACTTCAACGTCGTTTCAATACACATATATACAACACATTACTTAAAATGTCTTTATATTGGTCAACTATGGTTAGATGTCTATATATACCTTTTTCCATTCATATCTAATTTCCACTACAATTTTTTTTGCTTTACTATCTTTCATTGTGCTTCAAATCAACATCCAACATCACGAGATATCATTATATCAATAATTTATAACACTATTTACAATCAATAATGCAACAAATACAAAATTATCATTAAGTCGAGAATGCAATGCACTCAAAATAATGGTTATATAACTTTCCGAAAAAAAAAAAAATAATGGTTATATACAATCACATCACCTAAACGTTGGTCAGACTTGTCGGCTCTAAACCTACATACCATCCAGCAAGACTAGCATGTAGGCCATGTACACCTTAAGCTTAACCTAATTAAATTCCCTTCTTGTCCCAACAAAAACATTCAGTGTGCACTTTGAAATACCAGAATAGAAAAAAGTGGCTATATATCTATATATAGAAATAGGATGTTGTTTTTGTCTACTGCGTCAATTACTTTTCTTTTTTCTTTTTTTATGTTTTTTTTTTTTTTTGGTAATCAAGCTTTACATTAAAGATCATGAAAACTTAGTACAACAGATCAATGGGGACAAACCCTGGCATAAAAAGAGAACCAGAACCACCAATCTAAAATCAATATATAGAAAGGAACAAAAGTGGAGCAAATGAAATACAAAGCATGAAGCTTGCCCAGAACAAAGGCAGCTAGCTGGCCATTAGAAACTTTTAAAGGCAATGATCCTGAAAATACTGCATCAATTACTTCTCTGTAACACAGAACAAATTTATCGAAATTTTACTGAGAAATGTACTGAAAATCTGGGAAAATAGATTATTTTAAAGTTTATTTCAGAATTCATATGTTAATACAGATATATCATTCATTTTGTATTAGTACACAAATATAAGAATTAACTAGAAACCACTAGATAATCATTCTTCTGGAATGATGGGTTTTCCTAGTTAATTAATTCAGCTAAGGTTTTCGACTTCAAAACAGATATATTGTTGCATGGTCCTCTAATTTAAGTCAAATGGTCTTCTGAGATGCATGTGTTCAACAGATATACTTCTTATAGATATGATCTAGCTTTTTTTCTTATTTTCATTTTGATATCAGAAGGGTTTTACAATTTCAGGAACTAGGCAAGTATAGTGCATGCAGTTAATAGGAATAAATTATATATATACAGTAATTTCTAAACTGAGTTGTCAGATTAAGCAAGACATAGATAAAATTATATATTACTGCTGCTACTGAAAATTATAACTGTATTTGTGATAGTGAGAGCAATCTTGAGTAATAGTTTATTCATGCACATGCCTATGTAAATCATATAAGCATAAATTAAATTGATAATATATATATATATATATATATATATATATATATATATAGTTAAACTTCAATGAATCAGTAAGTATTTGGTACTTGTTAGTTAGTATCGATAATGCTCTTCTATTTATGTTGTTTACTCACACACTTTCCTTAAATATATAGCAGTTTAGCTTTCTGTTTTGGCTTTCTAGAGGGATTCTTTATTTTTCTATAATTCTAAGTCCCCAGAGCTGGACCACCTAACTTACTTTAAGATCAGTATCATCTAAAGAAAAGGTTTCAGTACTAATATCTCATTAATAGTGGATTCAAATCAACACCATTTGCAGTTTGGAAATTAAATAACTATATATCAATCTGAAATGCTCATGTCCAACATTAATATTGTTACTTCACAAACCTAGTCGATCATGGTGCCATTTAAAATGATATTATCTACATTAAGTATTGAATTGGTATTACATATTACAATTTCAATAAGAGGATAGATACATCAGAAGAAAGAGCTTGATTTGATGATTAGATGATGGCATAAGAATTCAATTACTCAAATAATCTAGCAGGATCGATATTGATTCAACTTCATACGGTATCATATATAGGAACCTAGAGTAAACATATTAGAGAGAGACCTAAAACTGGATTCACATAAGATTTTTGGTTGCTCTAATAAACAACACCAGAAAGGGAAACTAAAGAGGAGAAATTAAAAAGAAAAAAAAAAAAGCACTGTACTGATTCGAAAAAATGAAATCCCAAATTAGAATATTTTTCTGATTCCTTTCTAAATTTGGCATGAATAATTAAGAGAGACAAGAAAGAAAAAAGACCCATCATCATGCCATAAATAATTTATATGAAAATTCACACACTGGTAGAAATACTTTACTTTTTTAGGTAATCAGGCATACAGAAAGAAAGACAACCTGTATATGCCCTAACCTAGTTGACATATATAAGGAGCTGACACACACAAATACAACTTAATTATAAACATGATCAGAATCAACTAGCATCAATATACTAGTGCAACCCTTGCAAATCCAACACTCAGAGGAAATCAAGTCCCTTTTTTATTTGTCTCACAACACCCACACCACAGCTATATATATGCTTACACACTTCCTAAGGGTAGAGAATTTTGGAGAAAGAAGCATCACTTATCTCCAAACAAGTATCCAAGAGATGAATCTCCACCAGGAACTGATTTAACCTTTGTCGATGAGCGATCCTGAAAAAATAACCAAGGTCAAAAATTATATATATAAAATATAAAAGGTGCAATTTAATTACATATCAATTTAAGATGTGTGTGTGTGTGTTTTGATGACTCACAGTAATGAAGTTTCCTGAATTTTGGCCTTGTGCTCTGTGATAGTTGTTGGAGACTTTTGGTTTCTCAGAAGGAGGGGGACGACTTTCCGGTGGCTTCTCTGTGGTGGTCTCAATTCCATATGGTGGTAAATAAACTGGCGCTGTAACCGGAGGTGTACTTGGTTGCTGATCTGCAGAGCCAAATAGATAGCCCAAGGAACTTTGCCCACCACCATAGCTTCCACCTCTACTCATGGCTGCAGCCTCGATCAGGAAGTTGTTTTCGATCAAGTAATTAGGAAAACAGCTGGGAGAAAAGGTGAGAGACCTTGAATATATATATATACATATTAAATGTATGTGTGAGTATGTATGAAGTTATGTTTAGCATTTATGGGATGATAGATATATTGTGCCATCCAAATTGACCATCCATGTCCATGACCATGATTGAATAACCTAACCAAGTTGGAACTGTGATGCACACTTTAATGTTCAAATGATGAAAAGGAGTATTCAATACATGCATACATGGGCTTTAATGCATGGATGAATGCTTGTATGGTGATTATACATAAATCTTTCAATCATAGGAGAATTAGGGCTTTCATCATGCATATGTAAAATTGATTCACCATCTTAAACACTTTTTTTTTTATTTTTTATTTTATCATTTATACAGATCAAAAACTTTAAGGTTGCTAGCCCTAACACTGTATGTATTACTATGTACTACTAGAATGGCACAGTGTTTGAGTGATATCTAATCTATCAGGGTGTGCTTGTATGAAATTTAAGGACAAACATCCACTCCACATAGAAATTAATTGAAATGTGCTTCTAATTAATTGTCCTTTAAAGCTAAATATAAATTGTTTATATTGTAGGTGGTGTCTTGATTCTTAGGAAATACATCAACATTTTATTTGCTAATACTCATTATAATTAACATATCTTCCGAAAGAACTCGTTATAAAATGTTACAAAAAACTGTGACTGAAATCATCCTTCCTTGTAGTTTCAAATAAAATATCTTGATTTGCTCTTACCCTACAAAAATTTTGTCAGCTAGAGTTGCTTCAAGAGAGCAAGGAAATTCAAAAACAATATCCAATTTACTTAATTACTTAAAAGTAACAGTGAAATTACTAGGTAATTAATAAGATAAAACTTGATCAACTCCATAAAAAAGAAATATTTCAATCAAGAAACTGTATGTCCATATTAATTTAATTGTATGTATAATAATGTATGCTTACATATGTATATTTACAAGGTTAACTAAAGGCGCCTAGGACTGTCGCTTCGCATACAGAGGGTGAGTAGTTGGTTAAATATCAAAATCAGGTGGGATGGATGAACTATTTATGATTGTCATTAAACATGATTTAGAATTAGTGGCATAGGCTCCACATTCTTCACAAACAACCAATACTAACTAAACATGCACTCATCTAAAATGAGATTCTAAAGCCAACATAATATTCACAATATGTGGTAAAATTGGCTTCTTTGGCCTGGAGTACGTGTTGGATATTTGGCAAGGCCTTTGTGACCATGCAACCTCAATATCCATCCTAGCCGTCGATAATCGCTGTACAGGAACAATGATGCCAAGCAATAAAAGGTACAAATATTGAGTGCACTGTTGACATATGAATTAAGTGTCTTCAATCAGCATAAATTCTGTCGCTTATGTCTTACCACATTATTTAAGGATCCAATAGAGATGATTAAATGGGATTAAATCAAGAAAAGGGGTGACTTTAACAGAAATGAAAAAGAGGAAATAATGGTTTGGGTTGGCCTAATAATATAGCAGCTAGGGGCCCATAAGTGACTTGTAGTCCTCTGAAAAAGTAAGTTGAAGGAGCTAAACTAGTTCAATTAAGAAAGACATTGTTTGGTGGGAAGGGAGCTTGTAGGCCAAAGGAGCCCTCCTTTTATATATAAATGTGTCTTCTTGCTTAGATATATAAGACACAGTTATATCTTATTCTCAATATGCTGTTCGGATTTGCATGTTTTCTGCTAATAAGTTAGTTGTATGTGGTTTCCAGATAGGATATATATATATATATATTCTAACATGCAATAACAGTTATTGCACAGTTAGTTCGAGCTTAATTATGATATATTTTAAAATGCAGATTCTCCTACCAAAGATGGTCAAAAGTTAGGAAGGCTGATTAATTAAAATATATATTCAGTCTCGAACGTACATAGCTAGCTCTAGTCAAGTGCCCATATGTTTGAACCTTTTTCAACATGTAATCAAGAAAACTATGTTGCCTTTGGCCATCAGTGGGGTTAGACCTGAACCTGAGATGGTCATGGACAGTAGAATCTGTCTTCGAGTATATGCAGTACTTGTTGATTAGCCATTTCTACGTTTCATGAAGTGGCCAATGGATATAATTAGTGTACAAAAACCAGTTTTGTTATAAATGCTAGACTGAGAGTTCTTAATTATTCCTTTTCCCAACTCTCCCACTAATTAATATGCTTTATCAAGGTATTGTAGTTTGTTAAGTAAATCAATTTTTTTTTTTTTTTTTTTTTTGTAGCTACATGTATATGTATTTTGTTCTAGGGAAATTTGCTATATGCATATGTATTAGTACAAAAAACAGAAGAAGAAGAAGAAAGTCAGACAAGGTTCAAGTCCTAGCTGTCTCAATAATGGAACAGTTAGGAGTACTAAACAATCTTTGTTTCGATGAGATAAGTTAAGACACTGTCATTGTTTGTGATGGAAAGTTTTTGCATATAGTTTCATTTGCATCCATGTAAAGGGATATATATAAAATGATATCAGTAGAGACCAATGACCAACAAGTGACCGACAATCGCTAGTCACTTTGGGCAAGTGGGGTGTGACTTTGGCTCAATTCAACAACAAAGAATCGAACGTACTCTTTCCACAACTAATGAAGTGGGCTGGATTCGTAAAGCATTATGATGTATATCCTTGACAATTTGCACTAGTTAAAGTTTTTAACCAGTTGGTTGTTATATATGCCCATTGCACATAGCACAGCAACTACTCATATGCTCTTGAGGCACCAATATATATATACACGCGCACATTGGTTTTTCCATTTGATTTTGTGTTGACTCATATTGCTTTGAGGCCTCAATCATTAAAAATATATGCAAGCTTCATATGATATATTCCAAGAGCAGTACTTCACACTACTATATTAATGAGCTACTAATCTAATTCTATTTGGGAGAGTGATCGAGTTGGAATAGCCGTTTCAACATATCCCATTGGTGAGACCTCCAAATGCATCCAGGAACAAATTAATGAGCCTAAGATGACTAAACTGTACATAAAATAGGGGAAATTAACTTGGAAGATCTTGTACCATGTCCAATTAATCATATAAATAAATGAGATTTCTAATCATGGTCCTTTGAAGAGGGAAGTGTTACAATGACTATTTATCCCGCATCAAATCTGGATGGAAAGTGAAAGGGGTATAAATGAGTGAGAATGCAGTACTATTCAATAACTTAAGTTTTTGGGTCCTTTGTGGTGCCTATCTGTTGCGATTAGTATCAGAGCCAGACTCAATCTTTGACTCTGTACTACGCGATCCAAAGAGCGAGCCACCAAGGTAGACAAGGTGGCCCGACCGTAACAAGGATGTTGCAAGTTCGAGTAGAAGAAAATGTTACAAGAGGTATCCATGCGCCTACTCCTTACATTAAATTTGTACTAGCTAGGCTATTGATAATTAATCAAATTTTTATTTATTTGTAATATCTGGAGGCTCAAATGTACTAGTACATGCAATTGAACTGACAACCTAAAAAATTCTATTGTGAACCTATCTTATTCTTTTGGTAAATCAGTACAGTACTAGGGACATAACCCAAAAAAAAAAGGGTAAAGCATAAAGAAAACATAGTGTTTTTTTTTTTGGGTCCTTGCAAAATAATCATCCTTGTATAATTTTCAATCTTTAACTTTTGAGCCTTTTAACTCCTAAAACTAGACCAGCTGTTGATGTATGGTCCATGCCTGTCGAAGCATCAAATCGAGCTGGCCATTTAAGGAAAAGGCCGAAACATAACCATGGGGTTGGGCCATGGTTGAGCCTAAACCAGGCCTTCATTGGGTCTAGGTAGGGCCACCGCTAGAAAAACTCATTTCAGCGGGGCTATGCCTACAAATGAATCAAGTTTTTCATCAATAGCCCAAAAAGTTGAAGGTGGGGCCAAACTAATTTTTTAGCAAATAATAAGAGAAAAATAATTTACTTGGCAGTTGCCCGATGCTCCATTTAGGACTATAAATTGTGTTAATGTTGATAAAAATAAACTTGTATAAATCTATATTAATTCACCAATATAGATTTATAAATTTATATTTAAATTGAACTTGAATAAGAAAATGACATCAACAACTTTTAAAAATTTCGATTTTGTTTAGTTTTGACTGCAAAATAAATAATCAAATTCATAAAATTTCATACAACTTTAAAGAGTACTTAATGCTACAGAGTACATAAATCAAAATTATACTACTCCTTTTGTCCTATAAAATTCATGGAACGGGCCAAAATTTAGTCTATATTTAACTTTGGGCTAGTCCAGTTGATTGGTGCAAGAATCAATCAAACGGTCCACAGCATGCGATTTACAAGTCAAAGGACGAGATCAACTCTTGTGGGACCAAACTATGTCAGTCTAATGGGACCCTCCGGAAAATCTACCACGTGGATCGAGTCACCGAAACTACTGCGTGGTTCCTGAACGTTCCGGAACTTCCCATCTCTCTGAAAACGCTTCACTAAACTGTGTTCTCTCCTTCATTTGCAGCAAACCAACGATCGAAGGTACGTAGATAAAACCATCCCATCTCAATATTTCCATTTAATTGTTTTATTTTCACTGCTTTGCCTCTGTTTATGATCTTCAAGGTATGTTTTTGGATATTGCCTTTTGCTCTGCAAATTGATTGGATTAGAAAGCTGGGGTTTTGATTTAATGGGAATAATATATTACTAGTCTTAATGGGGTCTAAAGAAATTTGGGTTATGATGGTTTATGGTGCTTGAATTGACTAGTTGTTGATGAAATTTGAAGCAGCCCCAAATCAATTTATCTGGAAAGATAGCTTTAGATGGGAACCAAAAGAATTTATGCAATAACTGAAAAGGTTTTGGATTGCTCTAGATTCATATATATATATATATATATATATATATATTGTTGGGTTCATTCCTTAACAGCTTTAGTTTTCAAGGCATTTCGAAATTTGTTGTCAGAGCTTGGAATCTTGATATACATTATTGTAATTTTGAGGTTGCATTTATTGGAAACTTGTGGGAGATCTCTATATGTATGTTAATTTGCTTACTTCGAAGTTTATAGGCCATGTCGGAGCTTGGACTTCCAAACAATCTGACTAGGGACATCAAAGTTTGCTATTTGCAATCATTATAAGCACCATTGAAGGCACTTTGTGTAACACTCTAATTAGAACGACGCTATGCAAATGTTGTACTCAAATGTATTTAGAAGAGTCAAATTTTGTTGTTCTCATAGTAGATGGCTGATGCATATTTTCTTCCTTTCTCTTGATAAGTGGACGTATCAAAATGTCATGGTTATTATCAATTGTATTTGTTGAACTTGATTCAAACCGTCCTTCCTAGAAAATCGTTGTTCACATTTCATTCAAATTGCAAACAAACTTGTACATGGAAAAGGAACACCTTTAATATTTACTTAGGTGTTCAATTACATTCAATGTTGTTAAAGTTGATTGTTCCCGTCAAATTGCTACTTAAAATGTTCCATTATCATTGTTTTGTTTAATTCAACTTGGTTGAAATGATTAGATTTGATTGTGTTAGTTATTATCGTCCAACTTGAACTAATGCCTAAACAATTTAAGACATCTGAAGTGCTGATTCTATAATCATCAATATATATATATATATATATTCTTCCTCTGAATGATGAATCTGCCATTCATTTTTTGCTTCTTGTTCCATACTGCAAGATTGGTAGTGGTTTATACAATCTAGTTATACCCTGTTAAAGAAGAGAATAACTGCAGCTCATATGCGCGGAACAGCTGCACTATTGCCTGCAAAGAACATATTCAAACAAATCCATCCAACAAAAAGAACATGGGGTAATTTCAGAGTTATTTGTTTTTCTTGCTTACATAATTAACAAACTTCTTTTATTGAGGATTGTGCAAATTATAAAACAGGAATTGTTGCCACTTCAACCCCGAAGAAGCAAGAAAATAATGATGTTGGGGAAGGACATGTTACAGTTGACAAGGCTGATCCTATTGTTGCCTTCAGCAAGCCACCGCCACTTCCACCTGTTCTTGGACCAATTGTTGTTCTCTCGTTGTTTGAAACATGGTCGAGTCGGGATAGCAGTGATGACTGACAGGTGATGTGAAGCCTGTCCTTCTGTTATTAGCAATGACTCGTGACTTGCAAGAAAACTATGTTAATGTCTTTTACTGGAAGAAAATGTTTGAAATGTGCATCAGTATCTTGAATGTATAGTTAAGTATGTGAGCCACAAAATTCCAGATGTTGATGTAGTATCCCAGAAGTGCCACTATAGATGGCTCCAAAACTATCTTGTAAATCTTTAGAAACCATTGTAGCATAACATTGGGACTCTTTAGGAACCCTGCAATAGCCAAATATTGAAATAGTATTATCATTTTACCATTGTGAACTGTTGTTTTTAAATGATAATGGAAATCCACATACACTCAGCAGCCTGTGGAAATGCATCAAATAGGGAGGTCATGGTCTTCAAAAGAGTCTGAAAGATGAAAATTCCAGATGGCCAAGAGAAAAAAGGTAGACTAATCAATATTTGGATAAATGTGCTTGTCAATGAAACAACTAATATCAACATTTCATGGTGCTCTAGGATTATGAAAACACGTAAAATTACCAGCACTAATCTTCCTGGTTTGATTGGTGATTCAGTTACAGAGTGAGCTTTCCTGCATAGAGATAGGTACCAGCATGTCATAGACCATTATTATCTATATGTAGAAAATGAAGGTCAATATGAAATTGTTCTTTAGTACTTGATGACTAGTCTTGCTTCTCCTTTTGCACATTCATAGAAGCTGCAGCCTCTGGTGAAGGGCAACTGTTTCTTCTTCCATTCTGCCATTACAGACCAGATCTTTCATCAAGTTCTATAGGTCAGTGCGAAGTTAAAGTAATCTTAAATTTATACGAGATAATGAGAGATAAGACATACCTAGGTGCCAAGTTACTCCAGCTGTGAGGTCATCTCCTTCCCAAACATGTCCTATATTGAACTCTAAATTTTGACCCATGCATGCGATCAATTGCTTGAAGAACTGCATTACCTCCTGCAGTGATTAATAGAAGGGCCTGTAAGTAGAAAAAGAGAGAGACGTAATTTCGAATTCTCGGAAGAAAAACCTTTTTCCCTTGGAATGGTTGAGGGAATGAGGAGTCTTCTAAGACGCAATCGTCGGAGAAAAATTTACTCAGTTGCTTCAAGTTTTTCTCATTGATGCAGGTGTAAAACTGCTTAATTGTATCTGATGAAGAATGCGGGCTGAAATTGATATTGAGGTTGCTCATTGATGACATGACCATAGGTAATCTAAGATTTCTGGATGATTTATTCACCGCTCTCATCCTCATACATGTTTGGTGCTGCTGCAAGGTTTTCAAGGCCTTATGCTCTTTATATGTTGTTGCAAGAGATAAGGACCCGTGGGTGAGTGCTGCCACTGGCTTGGAGCTTGTGCTTGGCCCTAAGGCAAGACCTGGGACGGTTGATGCAGCAGCCATTGGCCACACAAAGACTATCTAAACATGGTATTGAGACATTAAAATTCCTAAATATATATATATATATATATGGGATTGTGGTTTGTGAAAGAGAACAAAGGATAAAGGTCCGTGTCTTGTGCTTTGGCATGAAGTAAGGAACTACTCTTAGGTATATCTGCCCCTGCCTTGGCCTGTAATCAAAGAACCACTGAGCTTATGTAATACTTTTTCAGGTGTTAGGCTTTCCATGGAAACCATTTTGGCCACTTTTGTATTTATCAAACCACATTCCACATATAGAAGGTAGTAGGTATAAGTGTTGTGCGTTAGTGGTGGGGTTTTGTTTTTAACTGAAAAAAAAAAAAAAAAAAAAAAGAAAAAAGAAAAAAAGAATTGCTTATGGTTGTGTTCTTCAGTATTAGGAAGTGTCGATTTGAAGAAGAAGAGAAGAAGATGGAAATTATACCAAAAGTAGGGAAAGGGAGTATCTATGAAGGAAGGAAAAGTTTGGTCCTTTGCTTTCCATAATCTCTAGGGAATAGTAAATTATGGTTAATTTTGTGCATTTTCGTATGAGGATCTTTAAATATTACATTTAATAAGATTTTTATTGAGTTACAAATCAAATCAAACTAGGTATTGGAAGTGTATAACCACGCAATATTCATTTTATAATTTTCCTTCTCCTTCCATGAGAAGCGAATGCTATATTTAAATTTGACGTCAGACACAATGTTTAATAATTTAACCAACCCAAAATATAATCATTTATTCAATATTTATTGATCACGTTTCATTTTCATTTTCATTTTTTTTTTTTTAGTATCCATATACCACAATATTCGTTCGTCATACAACATTTGTATTAATAGGAATTGTTGTACATGGATCAGCAGGGCCAAATAAATTGGTCTTTCACTATTAAATAATTTTCATAGCTTAGTTGCTTATTTTTTTAATTTTCACCTAATTTTTTTTTATTTTTTATCTATTATTCTCTTCATTATATAATAGACATATTCAATCATGTAAATAAAAATGGTCACAATTCACAAACAAAATATTTAATTTTATAATAACAAAAATTAATAAAATTATAAAATAATTTAAGGTAAAGAATAATTTAACTTGATTTAGAAAAATTCGGTCCTGATACTTTAAAAAAAAATTCTTAGATTGTCACGGGGGAGATGAGAAAAGAAGTTGTAAGGAGGGATAATGGAGACCATTGGGATGGAGAAAAGAAGAGAACGTGAGAAAATAAGGGGACGAAAAAGGAAGGTAAAAGTTAGAATATTAATAGTTGGGACAATATTTAGGTCCTCATTATTAAAATTTACAACACACTATTGATCAATAATAAATAAATATGTCATCTTTAATTACCAAATCAAATATAGTGGTAGATATTCAATTACCAAATCACATATAGTGATTTGATTAGATGATTTGATAATTAAAAGGATAATACGTAGATCCTGAGGATCTAAAACATACTGACTATTGATTATGAATCAATAATAAATAGACATGTTATATTTAATTACCAAATTATAAATGGTAATCAAATCACTATCTCTAATTTGTTAAGTGAATATTCTGATTTAGTAAGTGAGTATCTACACCATCTTTGATTTGATAATTAAAAATGACATTTTCATTTATTATTGCACTACATCAATAGTTAGTATGTTGTAAAATATGATGTTTTCCATTTATTATTAGTTCACATTAGCGGTCAGTATATTGTAAATCCTTACTAGTGAGGACCTAAATATTGTCTTTAAAAGTTTTACAATTTTCATTCTGAGCAATACTTGTTGGATGAATTTCATCAAACGTATTGATGTGGCCCAATAGATTTAAAACAAGTGTCTAAAAATAAAAGCTATGATTTAAAATACATATCCAAAAACAAAAGTTAGGCAATACCCAATTTAATTTTTAACACCTATCGTAATTTTATTGAACCACATTGCAAATTGGATGAAGCTCTTTCAACCTGGGTTGAACCCAAACATTATTCATTTTCATATAAGGCTTAAAAGTATACTCGTATTTAATAAGTAAGGTTGGTGTAACTATATGGAGAATAATAAATAAAAAAATATGGAATGGCAGGAGAAGGCGAGAAAAAAACAAAGAAAAGAAAAGAAAAAAGATAGGATTGAAATCTTTTGATCCAATATTAATTTTCACTATTGGAAGGGTTATAAAATTTTAGGAAGATTTTTATATATGGAAATAAATTTTTTGGGACTTTTATAATCGAGAAAAGTATAGAATTTTTTGACCAACTATTTAAAATTTTCTATTGGAAGGAAATAAAATTTTTAGTAAGATATTTTGGGACTTTAAGCAACCACTTAATTTCTAAGGCTTGAGTAGGCCTAGTTAAGTCATTTTCTTTTTCACTTTTAAAAAAGATTTTTACCAACATGACTAAATCAATTTAATTATTATTCCTTTCCTTCCCTAGCTCGTCATTTTAGATAGGTGTTAGGGCTCGGGCGGACTTGGTTAGGCTCGGTAAATTTTCAAAAAGCTCGGTCTCGGAGCTTTGGTTCCTTCATATATTCCAATTTTCAAAAAATTGAAATATATGAAGGATATGTGGTCAAGTTACTTTACTTTCCATAAAATCTATGGAAGTATAAATTATAGTTAATTTTGGACATTTTCCTACCAAGGATTTTTTAGAATTATCATTGGATAGGATTTTTATTGAATTACAAATCCAATCAAATCAGATTAGGTATTGACTTAATGTATTGAAGTATAACCACTCTTAAATATTTATTGGTCACGGTTTCATTTGCACATTATCAATCTATTCGATATCCATTGATTGATCACAACATTTTCTTTGTATCCATAGGAATTCTTGTCTGTATATATTGTCACTTGTTAGTCCTTTCTTTCTTCACTAGGAGACTCACCCAATTCCAATCCCTTCCTCGCCGGATATCTAATTCTTATATATAAACTAATATAGAGTATGTATGCATATAAATATATATACATAAATTATATTATAAGTAGATAAGATAAGAAGATGGCGGAAAATAGAGAGAGGATGGAAGGAGAAGAAGACACAGCCGGTAAATGCTGTTTAATGTTGATGTCCGTGATCTATACTTGTATTTTCATAGTTGCGATTGCAGCCTTGGCAATGGCGGTGATGCAGCACGCCTTAACTGGGGTGCGGGCTGTGATATGCCTTGTTATAAATGGGGTGGGTTTGATTGTGGGTTTGATTGTTAGTATCTGTGTGTGTGTGACTGCGTGCATTTCACTACGCAACAATTCTCGAATTTGTCCAGACCCACACCACGCTCAACCCCATTAATAATACTAATGCTTTGCCTTAATTACTTTCCTTGGTTTTGTTTTGTTTTGCCACACCCATGCCCAACCCACACATCATGTAGAGAATTGTTTTTTTTTTTTTTTTTTTTTAATTGGAGTATGCAGTTGTTTTCTACTTACTAATTGAAAATCAATAATTTTATGATGGAGACGTGTGAATTTTATTTGTATTTTTATGTGTAATTGTGCTAATTTAAGCATCATTCGTATCTCACACACATACACCTTACTAGTAGATGTCAATTCGATATTAACATTGAAAATACATCTCACATCTCTCTTTTTAGAAAAAAGAGAGTTTCAAAAGTTATATATTAAAAAATAAAAATTCAAATATTGGAATTACAAAGCCTTATTTTATTTTTCTATTTTCAATTATTTTTAAAATGATTAGTATTCTATCATTTTGGTACTATAACTTAGTTGATATGTCACTCAATGGGTAGCTAACTCTTGAGCGTTAGGGTGTTTTGTATTATTATATTGGGATGGTTTATACATGTTATTTGGATGAGGGGTGATAAATGGGTAGATTGGGTCGGGTTTAGACATATTAAATATGGACGAGTTGAAAATGAATTATAGTTCATATTCAATTCGTTTGTAATGAGTCAAATATAGGTTGGGTCAATCTGTAAGATCTAATGACTCATTTTCATCATTTTATTCTTTTTTTAATTTTTTTTAAATAAAGAAAAAAAATACATTTTACTGTTAATTCCAATCTTGTTTTACTAAGAATTAGGGTAAAAATTATTTTAATTCTATGGAATGTAGGTAAGTAATAAGTTTACAAAATCCATTTAGTACATATATATTCTTCAATATTTTTTTAAAAAAATTGTACTTTTTATATTATTTTATGAAACTTCAACCTTCACCTCATATGAATTCAAAGTTAAAACAATGAACCCTGACCTACTGAACAACAAATGACCTGTCCAACCCACTGAACAGTTGACAGGGCCAAAATACCAATGATCGGCATTTTGTAAAGACATAAAGAGAAAATTTTCGAGTTAAACAGTGAAAGTTCATATGCATCATTCCTATCATAATAATGTAGTATTGCTATTTTTTATAACAGCGATGCACAAACACACACATACACATATAAAAAAAAAATAAAAATAATTTCAAACTCAGTAATATTTATCGACTCTTTTTGAGACAAATTTAGAGAGAGGGAGGGGATAGTGAGTCAGAGAATTTTAGAAAGAGAGAAATAGGGTGAGAGCAATATAGAATAGATGACCCTTAAAATACATATATATTTTTTACTGTCATATGGTAAATTTTGTATTAAAGTAGAAGAGAAGCAAATGATGTAAAAATACCCAAGTCAAAAAGCAAATGACCTGTCCAACCCACTGGGAACATATGCATATGATCACGCCTTACATTTTATTTTTTTTTTGTCAAAATATATGTATGCACATATCCTAATAATCGGCATTTTGCAGAGACATAATTTGTCAAAAAGAGAAAATTTTCAAGTTAAACCGTGAAAGTTCATGTGCATCACTCCTATCATAATAATGTATTACTATATATATTTATATACACATTTATATACATATAAAATAAAAACAATATCAAACTTAGCAATATTTATCGACTCTTAGTGAGAGAGAGAGAGTGGATTGATGAGAAACAAATTTAGAGAGAGAGGGGGATAGTGAGTTAGAGAATTTGAGAGAGAGAAATAGGGTGAGTGCAATATAGAATGAATGTGTGTAGTGTGTCTATTATGTGATGGGTGAAATATTGATTGAATATGGGTATCCATATTAACCCATTTTGACCTTCAAATTAAGTGGTTAAAAATTACCCAACTCATTTTTGACCCACTTTAAATATAGTTCATTCAAAACTATTAAAAATTGAAGGATGTGGACAAATTGATGGGCTGTGACCCATTTTGGTACCCTGATTAGGATGCATGTAAATGTAGAGTGCTAAAAGTGAGATTGTGAAAGAATTTTAATGGTGCTGCATTTCATTCTTCTATGAAATATATATTT